AACTGGAAGCTGTTTGGGGCTGGACCTGTCCTTTTCTTCCAAGTTTCCTGAAGACCAAAAGCCATGACTCAGGTTCCTCAGGGGCTGCACACACACACTAATACGGCAGTAACCCTGAGGCGAAGGGAGAGCTCATGAAGTTGTTCGCGTAGGCCGCAGCTGAGGAGGCAGGCAATACACCCTAGAGCCTGGGAAGCAGCAGAGCGTGGAGGAGGACTAAGAGCAGGACTGAGGTCAGCGGAGGAGGAGCCAACATTGCAGGTGAAGAATTCGAGATAAAGAGTTAAAACAAAAGTACACAGACAAAAGAATGGATGTAGCAATATTCATAATCAGGTAACACAGAGGAGTAAAGTCCGTGAGCAACGGAAGTCCAGAGTTATTGATATGGGAGATACATGAGAAAAATATTCACCAAAAAAAAAAAAAGCATATACACATACCTGTAAACCATTTCATTAGGAGCCGTGTCATCAAAGGCATAATCAAAACGAAAAGTTTGGTTTTCTAGGTACCTTGTCAAATCCACTTTTTGTTTTGGTTCATGTACCATCACAACATCTTTACTAGGAATTGTTATTACATCAAGGTCTTTCATTAAAGTTTCTATAAAATAAGTGAAATATATATTTAACTAACGACACATCATTATGTTTTACATTTTTTCATTATTTACACTCCTAGAACATCTCAGATAACACAGCTCCTCCAAGCAACAACACTGCAATGGTTCTGGGTTAGTGATGCCTAGATAATATAAGAGATTTCATTTTGGAAGACTAGTCATCCTATCCCACCAATTACTAAAAACACACTGTACCAAGCTGATTGGAAGAACTAAGATCATTAATTACAGCACTATAATTGTAGCTTGTTATGTATTCTGCAACAACAGTTTCCATGGATATTGGTTCTATTTCCACCAGGCTGTATACTGCTTTACAGATTACTGCCATATCCTTTTAGTTGACATGAATAATTTCTCCACCCAAGGAACTGGAAGGTGAAGTTCTATACTGCTTGGGCTGTCAAAAACACAAAGAAATTAGTATTACTATGATACCTACTTTATTTCAGAATTTTATCTTTTTATTTTCCCTAAATACTCAATGTTACAGTGATACGGTCACAGCTTTCAAAAAGAAAAATTGTGCTTTTGTTCTACCCAGACATTTTCATGTGTGTATTCTTCCAGGAATATAAAGTACACATCTTTAATACAGAATTTCTATAAAGTAAAATCCTTTTCTAAACATTACCTTGTAAGCAGAAAAAGCTGAAAATGCTAATGATCCTTCCTATCACTGGGAATGAACAAAAGCCATCTAGATGCGAATTCAATAGTGAGCTCCCAGGCTATAATTACTCCCCAGCACTACAATTTACTACTAATTGTGGTATGATATGAGTCAGCAAAACAGAGAACCCAGTGATCCATGATATGCACAAAAATAAAGACATTTTATGTGTACAGTCAGGATCACTAATGTGTCCTACTTGCGTTTCTGTGTAAAATTTCTTAAGGCATACAGTTCAAAAATGTGACGTGGCTAAACACAATCAGATAGAAATCTCCTCATCAGTTAACATACTGCTCAAACAGTGCAATGGTTACCACTTCACGGCATCATACACCAACAGAAATATGCATTCAAGTCACTACTAAATCAGATTTTCAACTGCACTGCAATAAAATTAAATGCAACTATTCTGCAGTAATCACAGAGAAGAAATATGGAACAGTAATGAAAAGAGATATAATATATGTCGGTCAATTCTTTGTGGCAAAAGGTTTTTAGTTTAAGTTAAAGTTAAAAGCTGAGGGTTTTAAGCAATTGTTTGGACAATTACTCACTCTCCCAGCTATTCGTTAGGGCAACCTGTATTCCTTGCTGAGAAAAATTTGGAATAGCGTCCCTGAAACCCACCATACATTTCTCAATTATAAAAATACATCACTGAAATAAAATCTTAAAATGTCAGTTTTAATACTTCCTGCAATGTAAATCTACAAAACGACTGGAACTGAGAAGACCTAAAGATTTTGGTAGTAATTCTGTTCTTGCTGAGACTGACAAAACCAAGTAATTCTAGTTTTTCTCTGCAGGGGGTTATGCACTAGTATATTTGATTCTTTCATATTCTTCCATTTTAAACTGTGACATAAGAAATACTGTTTCTTATGAAGTGTGTGTTTTCAGAAGCCTGTATCATGTGGCTATTAGATTACCTCTATGGTTCGTCTCCTGCATAGACTACTTCATTAATGATTTTTTTTCCTACACTTTGTTCTTAAAAATGCAAAATTACTTTATCTCCTTTTTACTTAAGACACTGACCTTCCTACAAATACTTCTGAACTATTTTTTTAATGCCTCCAAACCACTCATACCTAAGATGTGTAACTTTCGCAAAATCAAATCCTATTTCTGAATCTCAACTCACGCCCCATGGCAATTTGCTCTCATTTATTGTGATTTCACTTTGTCCACCTTCGGGGCAGGTAAAAGGTGATGTTTCCCCCAGAATATCAGATTTCATTGAAGATAGCCTCCAACACTGAAACAGAAATTCAACGGGTACCAGACTTGTACACTGAATGCCCTTATTGAATAGGCTATGCAAAAAAGTTTTGATGAAAAAATTTTTGAGATTATGCACTTCTTTAAGAGCAATATAAGAAAAAAAAACCCAAACCACGGAATAAGAAAACAGTAAAAGCAAAAATTTTCTGGGTCTGTCACACATCCTGTCCAGTATAACAATTCCACCTTTGATCAGTATTTGTAGATGGCTTTAACACAAATAATACTACTATCAGAAGCAGCTTCTTCAGATAAAAATCTCAGCAAAATCTTCAGTGGTCATACCTTTTTTATTGAGTGGCCGTTTTCGTACACAAACACATATCCTGTGCTCATCAATCTGCAAAAGAAACAACCTCTCAGTGAGCTATGCCCCAGTTCCGTCTATATGACATTTTGCTTTATTTTACTTCTATTCTTGAATTAATTAACCTATCATTTGAACAAAGAGAAATTTTCAAGACAGGGAGTTATCTGAACTCCCCTTGTGTCTGCACAATAGCTAAGAAGCCAAGGCGAGAACCATACATCAACAAAACTGCCTGCAGACAGTAATGCAATCCTGCTGAGTACCAGGTACATCTTAGAACTTTGCTAATAAATCCAGCTCTAACAGGGTAGATACGCTATTGACAGGAATTGTCAAACACTGATTTCCAGAGATCTGATAAACTTAATCTTTTCAGGATTCTGGTCATCTGACTTGTCTGCATCACCTCCAAAGATCAAATATTAATATTCATAGACTACAGAGGTTTTCAGGGAAGCTTAATGGTTTTGTGTGCACACCCCCTAGCATCCCAGGAAAATTTACAATACAGAGGCTGAGTGACTACTTAGTACATACTAGTATTATTTTACAGTAAAAAGATATTTAAATGCCATACCATAATTAACAATGATTTAGTAACCTAGGACTTTCAATACCTACTAATTTCAGTATTATCAAATTACTGAAAAAATAAATCCATGCTATAATGAATACTAATGCAGATTAAACAATTTTTCATGTTTACAGAAACATACACTGAAAAAATTTCTATGTGAAAACACATAGAAAAACTACAGAAGGATAAAAAAATTCCATGTTGCTCGGTTACTTACAGGATCTGCAGTTGTCAGTGGTCTATAATCCAAACTTCCCCTGAAATCCCTTATCATACACATAATTTCATAATTTGGGTTTGTAGCATCAACATCCTAGGGAAGTAAGCAACAGGATTTCAAATATACTTTTTTTTTTCCTGAAATGGACTGATTTCAGGATCCTCTGTATTTATTTATAAGAAAAATAGACATTAAGTGAAAACTTATTTTTTCTCCAAAACACCAGAAATGTCTCAAATGCAAGTCCTCCACTCTGATGTAGCTAATTTACTGATTATGAAGTGAAACAATAATATGCTTTCTGTTTCATGTTTTTGGTTGGCATCCAATAGAAAATACGTTTCAACTGAGGACTCATTAACAGTCTACTCAAGAAAGAGGAATGACTCCTCTCTTTGCCAGAAGGTTCACACTGAAGAAACACCTCCGAATGACCGCACGACACCAGACAGCGTATACACTCAACGCTTCTTCATCTGAGCCATCTCAGATAAGGTGGTCCAGCGGATGAATGGATACACTCCATTACACAGGTATGTAGATACGTACACAGGTACAACACACACGTCAGGACAGTGCAGGCACCCCAGCTGCTCTACACAACCCTCCTGGATCCAAGCCAGTTAAAGGAGCTTGATCCTACTACTTACTGGTCCTGAGTTAAGTCCTACCATTACATGGATGCGTTGGAAACTCTTCTAACACCCCTAGACCTGCCAAAAAGCTGAAGCAGTCCCAAGCACACACCACAGACTACATCCAGGCTCAGAAGACTTTCCCTCCCTAAACCTGGAGCCACCAGTACCAGAGCGAATGGACACCGAAGAGGCCACACACAGAGCCCCTCCAAGCCTTCCTAAGCCTGTGACTACCAGGAGCTGAGCTGGTTCTATGCAGAACCCACCAAACGTCCTTCCTGTCACTTCTCCCCGTGACTGTCCTTCTTTACACCATTTCACGGCATGGTGCTGATGTCATACATAGCCAGCTCTGGTGCTCAGACTACCAAATTTTGCACGCCTCTCCCCAAGTGACGTCAACACTCCTTCTGCATCACAGCTGGTTGTGGAAACAGCACAGGCACTCTCCGAAAGCACCGCACTGAGGTTAGTAAGCTGAAAGGGAGCCCGCTCGTGACACTGCATCTGTGACACAGCCAACCCTCACCTCACATAAAACTGTGTCCTGCTAATCAGAAGTTGACTATGCCCTGATGTTGTTCAGCCTGACTACAGTGAACTAAAATCTGCAGACAGAAAGTCCACACAAATGTATTC